CAAGCACAAAGGCACGTAACCTGACGAGCTGATCGAGGTGGGGGCGATCACCTCCAGTGAACAATCCAGGCTCTAAGGAGGAGCACCGCGCTACAGGCGACAGGGAGGAGCGCCTTGGTGCATTCAAAGTGCTATCAGCAAAGGAGGCAGGGGCACGTACCTTGACGAGCTGGTCATCGGAGCCTGAAATGAGGTAGGGGCGATCGCCGCCGGTGAAGTAGTCCAGGCAGTTGACACCCTTCAGGTGCCCCTCCAGCGTGAAGTTAGGGTCTGGAGATCCCAGGCTCCAAATCTGAAAACACGTAGATGGATGGACGGGTGCAAGGAGAGGAGAGTGCAACGCAAAGGCACCAACAATGGGCACAATAGACAAGACAACAAGGCATTGCAAAAACGAGCACAACAAGTCAACACGCGTGATACAGGAACTCAAGTTGCACCACGTTTGTGAATTGTACATGACTGAACGGACACACATCCAGCTCACCTTGATGGTGCGATCTAGTGATGCACTGGCGAAGGTGTTGGTATCCTTGGGGTTGAAGACCACCTGACAGCAAAGTAGCACAGGCAGTAGAGCGGCAGGAAACGAAGACACGCACGAGATACACAAAAGGGTCAGGAAGAAGGAAGAAGGTTTAGCCGGGTGAGAGGCACGACAAGCTCTGACGAGACGAACAGTGACAGAGGGGAATTTTCACCACAAATCCGTGAGGGCGCAGCCTCGACACAGATCTGCGCGCATGCCCACCCCTCCCCCCAGTCCCCTCCCCTCCCACAACTTGATGAGCATGTCGTCGGACAAGAAGGGTGTGCTACGTGGCACCTCCCAAAGCAGGACCCACACAGGCCTCCAGCCTTCGCACTGTGGTATGGTATGAGGCACCTCGCAAAACAGGACACACCGAGACTCCCTCAGGACCCAGCCCTCACACAGTGCTACAAGGCACCTCCCAGCACGCACCTGCATGACGTAGTGCGAGTGCCCCTCGAAGATCTGTGTGCACGCCCACCCCTTCTCCCAGTCCCACAGCTTGATGAGCATGTCGTCCGACGAGGAGATGACGAGCGGCAGCGACGGGTGCGCGGCGACGCAGCGGATGTAGTCCGTGTGGGCCTCGAACGTCTTGACCTTGTCCATGGTGTTGTAGTTGTACACGCGGATGAACATGTCGTCCGCGCCCGTCACGATCCATTGCTTCCGAGGGATGAACTTGGCCGACCGCACTGGCGGGCGGGGAGGAGGGAACAGGAACGAGGAGAGAGAAGATCTTTAGGTTAGGCTCGCACTGAACGCACTGCCTCAAGAGTCCCCTCGTAGTGCTCCTCCAACGCCTCGGAGCCCTCAAACGCCTGGGGCACCTCCAGCGCCTTCCAACGCTTTGAACGTCTTGACCTTGTCCATGGTGTTCTAATTGTACACGCGGATGAAAATGTCGTCCGCGCCTGTCATGATTTATTGCTTGCGGGAATGAACTTAGCCGACCGCACTGGCGGGAGGGGGGAGGGAGCGGGAATGAGGAAAGTTGAAATAAGAACTTTGACTCCAGAATCCCCTCGAACATTGGCGTGACCGTGTCCAGGCTGTTGCAAACTTGTGGTGGGAGTGAAGGAACCTCTCAAAGAATTTCGCTGACTACTGAATTTGCATCAAGCACGAGAAGGTGGTATCGTCAAGTAGCAAACTTGGGAAGCACCAAGAAACATAGTCACGTACCTGGCAATTCAGTGACTTCAAACGACTTGACCAGAGTCTGCAAGTCGCACAGCGGAACATTTGTGAGACGAAGGCGGGAAATTAGCCATGGCACAAATCCACTCATGGTATAACCACTTTAGCTACTCTCCACTCAGAAAGTAGTTGTGCCAAACTCAAAAGACAAGAGTGTAGGCGCAGACGTTGGTCAAGATGAAAGAGATAGGAGAGAATAACTGAACGCAAGCGAAGTCTGCATTGAAGTCTCTTACCTGTGTGGTGTAGTTCCAAATGTACACACTTCCCGTGTATAGCGTCGCGAGAACCCTGTCACAAGAAACAAGTAGTTGAATCAATTTCAGTGAAGCCCAATGTAGATACCAAAAGTTCCCAAGCAGCATGGCACCAGATTTCACCTCTGTTTGAAGGTGACAGCCGACCAATTTCGACTCACCATGGTTCTGTCGGGTGTAGATCTACACACTTCACGCGATCTGAACGTTGTGCGAGCTTGCGCTGAGAGGAAAAAAGGCGGAGGATGTATGGCGGAATGAGGACGCGTTTTTGTGTCAAAACCCAGAATTACACGGGGACGCAAGCATGCATTGAAATTTCTGAGCATGTCAGGCCTGAAGCTCAAAAAGCAGCAATTGACTCATCAGTAGGGAAAAAAACACTTTTTCTCACCTTGATTTCCAACCGAAGAGGCTGCAAAGAAACAAGTGCGCGGAAACAAGGACAAACAAGACAGCACAATGGTTAGCTAATCGGGATTGCATGAAGCAAAAAGGCAAGAGAACGAACATGATAGTGTGCCACTGACGTGTTCGCATGATCAACCTACGTTCGTACGATACGGGATTGGCCCTCGAAAACCGCAATGGCTACCACAAACGCCTCTCGCATTGCCATACGACGAAGAGCTAACCAGCAGAACAAAGAGTTACGTATTCCATAGGTCAACTGTGACGATGACCTAACACACACAATGCATCATCCTGCCGGCATTCGTGATGCGCGAGCATTCCTTTTCCTCGTACTGTCGCATTTTGACAAATCTAGTGAAAGCTACTCCGATGCTATGACATGGCAGCAACCGACATTACTGATGAATTCTTTCCGGATGTGTATGTGACAGGTAACGGAAACCATCTTGCACGTGCGACGAGCACGTGTAAGCGATCAGGTGAGAACGGAGGAGTATGCAATCCTACTAATGGCATCCGGACTAAAATCAAGCTGACATCCGGATGACTTTTGAGTCGACTCAAAAGTCACCTGTAGGCGATCTGGCGAAAACGGAGGAAAACGCTAACCTACTAATAAGCGATCAGGTAAGAACGGCTTCCAGACTAGAATCAAGCTGGCATCCGATATATCGAACGGCGTCGGTGTCGTTTTCAATGGCTTCCAGACTATACACGATGAGACTGGTTCCGAATGATTATCCAGTGCGCTGATGCTCGCGACCAACTAGATGCTTCACTATCCAACTCCGCATTTCGCATCGAGAGCAGAACCTCCACGACAGCCTGTCGACCTACTTGCTGTGATGTGAATCCCAAGCTTAACCGACATACTGAAACTCCGAGAAGGTGATTTTGATACAAATACTAATCTCAAAACCTGATTTTTGCAAGCAGAAATATCCCCGAACGAGCAGTCAGTCAGGTTCTAGAGAATCCCTAAACGTGGTTTCGACATTTGAAATCGAGCTTACCATGGCGACGTTGTCTCCTTGTCAGCAAAGTTCTGAGAGACTAAAAGGAGAAGCCAATGAGATCACGGGATTTGCAGAACGAGCTTGAATCGTAAGACGGGTGCGCAAGAAATTCGGTCCTGCCTAGAGAGCTAGCAGGTAACCCTGCACGGATCAATCAGCGTTCTCCCAGTGAGATCTGGCAACCTCCTAAAATGGTCTTCCGGTGATGAATCTCAGAAACGTGACGTGAGAAGTTGGGTTGGGTTGGGTGGGACCAGGGAGAAAGGAGTACATCCCAGATCAGAATCAGCAGGTATTGCCTGGAAGAACTTGATTACCATGTAAAACCGGATAAAACCGTTCTGAGAAACATCTGAATCATCCGTCATCCCGCGTTTGATTCTCAAGTGAAACCAGGTGGGGAAGATCAGAACCACGGCAACACCAAGAGCATGTACAACCCGTTACAGCAGCACACTTTCCTTTGTAGAAATATGTTCATAATATATATATACATATCTAACATCTATACATGTATACAAGAAGTGTCCAGAAATATGCACAAAAAGAGAGCGCAAATATCTCTATTCTAAACCAAAATCGATAGAATTTAAAACAAATTAAACACAAGAGTTATACCCTTTAAAACGAGATTTGTGCGACGAAGTGCTATAGACCGCAAAAGAAAACACTAAGATTATACCATTCTGGCAACCTCTAAGGGTTCTGTACATATATCTCTCTGATTTTTTGTGTGTATAGCTGCTTCCGAAGATTTTGCTGGAACACCCACCACTCGCTGCACTTGGCACGCATCCAGGTGTTCGTTCATTTGGAATTTGGCGCACTGCACCTCGCGTAGCGTAGCTCGCCCCTCATGCAGCAGCGCGCGAACAACACGGGGGGATATCCCAGGTGCAGACTGGTTAGCTAAATGAAAAACGGCGTTGTTAGATGTTCAGAACGGTGAATTCAAAGGACAGTACAGTTAGGGGTTCCTCCAGATGAATGAACCAGCAACTCGTCCTTGATGGGTGTGTCGGTGACTGCGACAGATGATAGGAAAACGAGCTCGCCGTTGTACAAGATACCAGACCAGATGCTGCATCACTGGTGTCCTCTGGTTTGTTCACCCCACAATACAGGACTGTACTGCAGTACATACTCCTTTCATGGTGCCCCATCACCAGCTCTCATGCCGCCCGATCGGGCGGGTTCGGGAGCCCGCGACGGCAATCGCACCACGTCCCGATTTGTTCACAGATTCCGCGGATGACGTGGCGTCGTTTCCGTCACAAGCACACGTCACATGACCATCGCCCTCATTCCATGATCAGCCTGTGCCGACGAGTTGGTTGAGTGCACGTAAGTTCGATAGCTCACTGTATCTTCCAACAGCCTACGATCTGCTCTGAGAGCCTTCATGAGCCCAGCTGAACGTACCTCCAGCCAGAGTGATTAGCTCGAAATCGTCTGGGCAACATTAGTTGACGCCGCGTGATCAGCTTCACTCCGAATCGACGCTACCTTTTTCTTACTGAGAATTAACTCATATTGTCGACAGCCGCGGATTTACACCTGTTGTCGCGAGCATCTCTGGCCATGGCTGAATCAAACGAGCCCTACGTGGTGGTGGGAAGCCAGTACTGCGTGCCGGAAGAGTCGGTGCTTATACTGAAGGAGAAGATGTGGTCGCTGCGGGAGAAGGCCGAGATCCGCGACGGCCAGGATCAGCTAGTCTTCAGGACCGAGGATAAGTACGTGAAATTGAAATACCTACGACGTACGTTCGTGTAATCCGTGTGATCATCCTAAAGATCCACCTACTGATCATCGCCTTATCACCAATCTGGCAGGGCATGGGACATCAAGGATCGCAAGACCATTTTCAACGCGCAGGACGAGCCGGTTTGCTCGCTGACAAGCAAGGTGCTCTCTATCAGCGACACCACGTACCTCTGCGCTGGCGCCAACCCGGATCCCGCCAACGCGCTACTCACCGCCAAGAAAGTCATCCTCACCTGGTCACCCATTCTCAATGTGAGATTTTTTCAGTCCTTTGTTTTGAGCTAGTGACATGAAAGGGATCAGCACTGGTGACCATGCATGGAAGGTGATTGGGGGTGTTGCAACTAGAAATTTGTACTTTGGGCTAAAGTAAGGGTTTCATACTAATCCTGCGAGTTATCTTATTATGCACAGCCTACATTGGGATTACGTACAGTGGTGAGTTAATGCGGCCGTTAAACTATACTTATTGTCAGAATGGATTTTGTTTTCCTCCCTGTTCCATGCCATTTTTTGAGTTATGTTCAGGTTTTCCTGAAAGGGAACACGTCAACTGATAATCCCGACATCATTCTCAAGGGCAATTTCGTTCAGTACGATTTCAACGTATGTCCTTGCATTGTCATTTTCTCAAATTTTCCGTATCACCTGAAAACACACTGTGTTTGTCTGTCTTGATTTCTGAGCTGAGTTCTTTACATGTTTTCCTGCATCCTCACCTGCATCACTGACTTGCAAAAATGTATGCGATCATTGGTCGTTTTTCTCACTTTCCTTACCTCCGCATGCAGATTGCCACCTCCAGTGGCCGTATTTTGGCAAAGGTGGACCGTAAGCTTGATGTCTCAGGTGCTTTCTTGGCCACTCAGACGTATGTAGTGCATGTCAAGCCGAATGTAGACAGGGCTCTGATTATGGGCCTTGTTGCTATGGCTGACAACATCTTTGTCAACAAAGTAGATGACCAGAATATGGCTAATTTGTTCAAAGTTTAGGGTATGATTCTGCTATCAATGTAGGTATGGCTGTAAATGTTCTAGAAATCTGCACCAGAAATAGAATTTGGTCATTTCAAAATCAAACATCTACAGCACCCAGGGCTTATGCTTTTATAAAGACGCCAACAGAATTAAACAACTCACAATGGATTTAGTTCGACGTTCCCAATTAAATGTATTCAAGACCTTCGAACGGAGACAATTACCAGTATTTAGCCTCCTGCCTTCGCTGTTCAGGCATTATCTCACGTTTGCTTCCCCTGTTGAGGTGTTTCTCTCGTTCCACTGATACCATTCGTTAACGGATTGCGTAGCATCAGGGAACGGAGGGCTGCTTTACGCAATAGATGGAACGGAGCAGGCGGGTCGTAGCAGGAAAGCGTATCAGGCTGAGTGCATTAGGGTGAGCGCATCATCTAGTGCAGCAGGGGATGCGCAGAAGGCGGATCGTCGAAGGGGGAACGCTCAGCACGCGTAACGCAGCAGGCGGTGTGTACTAGGGTGATCGTAACAGGGCAGTGCAGCAGCGAGAGTGGTCACACAGTAACGGAAATTGACTTCACGCTCCTAATTTCTAGGCCTCCTCGTTATTGTCCCCATTGCTCTCTTGCATCTCTACGGTAATTGGAGGACGTGAATTTGTTCCGAAGTTCTGATTGGCCATGGGCGGCCGAATCGTCGATATTCCGTGTAAGCGTCATTTTCCGCAATCCGGTAGCTGATGTGCTGACATGCTGATCTGCTGACATGCGTATGTGCTGATATGTCGGTGTGATGATGTTTATTCTATATTCTGATGCTGATTGGCGCACCTTCATATCTTTGTGTAATTCATTTTCCGTCTAAAAGTTAGCCATGACTGAAGGTGATTTTTTTGGAAGCCTCAAAACCCCCTCGGGTTCTTAAGCTGCTTGAATCGGTGTTGTTGCTAATCCATGACCATGCATGGCATGAATTGCTGGCGTAGCTTTCCATTGTGTTCATCCTACTTGCCTTCTCCCTGATCTTCCAATCATGGCCGTTTTGCTCCTCTACTGTGGCGTCCCATGCCGCTGTTTTATTCGTTTGTTCTTTCATTTAATGTATTCCCCTGCTGATTCACGTGGCCTCTGCAGTAATTCCGTCCGGCCTATCACGCGATGACACGTATCGTCATATCCACCACTCGCTCCTCCTCCTGCAGCAAGTGTCAGAGGCCGTGCTGCAGCGAGTGCAGCAGAGGGTACGTTTCTTTTGCCTGTAACAGATTATCTGTCTCCCATGTTGCTGCTGCAACTCGTTCTGCAGCTTCTTGTCCTGATGTTGCTTTCCTGAATCCGGTCCGTCCTGTAGGCTGATGCAAAGGCAGAGCTGGTTGCTGACTGGCAGCACATTTGCAAGCAAGTTGCAGCCAACGGCTTGCCGAATCCTTCTCTACACTGCACGGTGTTGATAGACTCCAGCTTCTGCGAGTTTGTGTTTTCCCTCTTGCATCTTTTTTTTTGCTTCGCTGTGGTTGCTTCGCTTTGGAGGTCGAGGAGGAGGAAAAGCTTGTTGATGACAGACATCAGCGAGAGAGTCGCAACTTTCCTGAACAAGATGCGGTCACGTTGTTAATGGAATGCCTCTGTGAATTTGTGCTTTTTTTCTCACTTTTTTTTTTCCGTTTCGCTCTGCAGGTTGACGAGGAGGCAAAGCTAGTTGCTGACATCAGCAAGAGAGTTGCAACCGCAAGAGTAAGTGGATCAATTAATCACCACCACATGTCGTCTAACATCCAGTTGAGTGGAATGTTTTCGCTTCGTATAAGATGCTGACGCTATTTCCTAGGCGATAGCTCATTGCCAAAGCCTTTTCCTTCGCTCACATCCACTTCCGCTCCCTTCTGATGTCAACACCAAGCCCAGTGCTTTTTTTCTCGACTCCCTGTTTCTGCTTTTCTTTTCACGTCTGTTTCTCCACTGCTGTCAGCTAGCTTTGTTCGGTCGTCCATTTCATTCCATTCCACTTGTGTTTAATCTTCTGTTTACCATCCCGCAATGCAGTAATTTGTCATGACAGACAGGAGCAGGTAGGCCCTGTCCGCACCTCCACAACACCAGCACCACCCCCATTCTCATGTGCACCCTTCTCTTTCACGTGATCACCATCCTTCCGAATCCTTTCGCCATTGCAGAAGCAGGTGGATTCTCTCCTCTCCACTAGAGCATCAATCCACATACAATCCCCCGCGTCTCACATCCACCTTTCCATTTCTCTGTTCACCATCCCTCCTTCCCCATTCGCCATTGCAGAACCAGGTGGATTCTCTCCTCTCCACCAGAGCATCAATCCACATACAATCCCCTGCGTCTCTACCAACCCCAACAACAAGACTCACGAGACTGACTAGTCAACCCCCCCATGTGCACAACAATGCAAGCCTCACCACTGCAGGCTCTTCCTGCGGTCTTCTCTTTCCCACCACAGTACCACTCCTGCTGGAAGCAGAAGCAGAAACTGCCATACCCGGAGCTACCAGAGCTACCAGTGCTAGCAAAGCTACCACTGCCAGTGTTGCACAATCCGCGAACGCTTCCCAGAACCTTCCCGGACAGCCACTTCCCGCACCACCCGCACTCCCGGCTTCCCTAGCTTCAGAAAAATCCTTTATAAGCACTTCTTCCTCTGCTGAAACCCTTGCTGGTGACTATATTGAAGGGGAAAGCACACCTGCAGCGGACAGCAGCGTGGGGGATCCGAGGGGGTTTCTGGCCGCTCCCCAACTGGCCGCTTTCTTTGCAACCTCCTCCATCGCTGCTGCAGGGATTCCTAGTACCTCTGTGACAGGGCTTCCCAATTTTAGAGGGGATTTGGCTGTCACAGGGGTATCTGCTGCTCCTATGTCCCGGGCTTCTGGTGGAGATGGGGCAGGAGAGGGAGCTGTAGGAGGAGTGCTTTTATCGGGTAAAGAAGGAGGAGGAGTGAGAAGGGAGGTGCTTCTGCCTAACCCCCCTGGGGGGATGATGCTTCTCAGTGACTTGTTGCCTGCTAGCAGTGCCACGTCCCATGGGTAAGTTGCGCTTGTTTTTTTTTTAGGGGGCCCCGCTGTTGCCTGCTACCAGTGCCGCGCCTAATGGGTAAGTTGTGGTTGCCTTCTGAGTGCCTAAAAAAATGCTTATTGCCTGCTAGCAGTGCGGCGTCCCATGGGTAAGTTGCAGTTGTTACTTTACCTAACGCTGCCTGGAAATGCTCAACCCATGAGTTTGGTCCTTGGCTTGACCTGTGAGCATCTTGGCTACTGTTGAGGCGCCTTGGAAAAAAAAAAAAAAAAAAAAAAAAAAAAACTATATTTGAGGTGACTCAGAGATGGTTTTCAACTACCTGCTCACAGTGAATATTATCGTCATGCGTTTGGCCCTCTTCATTTTGTGCATCTTGAATCCAAACGATGCGACAGATGGCCATTTCTTCCAGAGATGCTCCCGTTCATAACATTTGTGTATTTCTCTAACAATTGTTCCTCGCAATCGTCTTTTTGTCTGCTTCCCAACAATCGCATCCTCCTGTGCACCACACCCTGCACTAACAGCAACTCGCTCGATTCACGAGGCACTGCCGCTGGTGAAGGTGCGAATTCGGGAGTGGAAGAGGCGAGAGAATCTGGGGCGTTTGGCACGCGTGCTGCCACTACCACTGCAGAGCGGTGCCTTGAGCTGCTGCAGCAGCCACTCACTCCCTTGGTGAGTTTGGAGCAGCCATTCACTCTCTGCAGCTGCTTTTTAGGCATCTAGATTTGGAGCGTCGGTCACGCATGCAGCCATGACCACTGCAGAGGGGCGGTGCCTTGAGCTGCATGGAAAGTACTTTTGAGAATTCTCAAAAGAGAATTCTCAAAAGTGATTTCCATACAGCGTCAGTCACACATGCATCCACGGCCACTGCAGAGCGGCGGTGCCTTGAGCTGCTGCAGCAGCCGCTTGCTCCCATATTGAGTTACAGGTCTGAGTTTGAGGCTCCTCTAAAACGAGAATATGGAGTCGTGCACACGCATGCAGCCACGACTACTGCAGAGCGGCGGTGCGTTGAGCTGCTGCAGCAGCCGCCCGCTCCCTTGTTGAATAACAGAAATGTATTTTAGGTGCCGCTAGAACGAATATCTGGAGCAGTGCACACGCATGCAACAAGAATCATTGCTGATGGGTACACACATGCAGCCTTAAGCTGTTGTGCTTCAATCTGCTGCAGCAGACACTCGCTCCCTTGGTGAATCGAGTTGAAGTTTTCCGTTGTGACTTGTTGCATGGGAATGCCGTTTGATGGCCCCATTTGCGACAGTTCAACGCTGTCGCAATGACATTCAGGCGCTTCAAAAATCACGTGCGTGCAGGAAAATGCAGTTTAATGACCTTGTTGTGAGCGTTTCTTGGACATATGACTGGTCTCCATCTGGACTCCTTTCGATGGGCCCTGTTCTGCTGGTTTTTTCTTGGTGTGTCTGCAGGCAATGTCGGAGTTCCAGTTTCAACCTCAGCTCTCAAAGGCACTCGACTTTGCACTTCCGGATTCCTTGCCACTCCCTTTCGGGGCATCTCCTGGTGATTCTCCTAGTTTTCTTGGCGGATCTGATGAGTCATAGGGTGCAGTTTTGTGTAATCTGTTGCAACTGTGCTGAATGACACCAGGTGTGCAAGGTTTATGTGAAATTATTGCGTGAAATTCTTCTATTTCTAATTATTACTAGGAGAGCTGGTCCCTGGCTTGTTGAGAAAGGTATTGAAAGGATGATGGTTGGTGAGGTGCAAGAATTAGTTGTGGTGCAAGGTAGACGGTAAGAGAAGTAGATTTGTGAAAGGGCTGGAGTGTACATTTTGGACATCAAATCAAGCAATTGTTGCTTTTATCGCAAAGCTTGCCTGACTGGTTTTCGGTTCTCGCTGCGCCGCAGATTGCGGCAGACTTGAGCCGCCAATAAATCATTTCAATGTTGGATTGACATTCCCCCAATCCAACCCAGCAACACCTTCAATTCTCACATCACATCGGTCATTTGGAACGCGTTTCTCACAGCTCAACTCAGACCATTCATTCCATCCAGTCCCTCTGTCGTAGTACCTCGTTGCATCCACTCACCTGCTGATGGTTTACCTCCTCATCTTCCCTGCTGGCTTTTTTTGTTCATTTTTAATTTCGATGAGTGGTTCAGGCTAACTCTAGCTGTATAGCAGTCTTCCAGCATCCCTAGTCGACAGCATTTTTTCAAGATTACGAAAGTAACTAAGAGATACCTACGCGGTGCATTGTCAATTGGACTTCAAGGCGAAAAATCAATCACGCGACCCTCGTCAAGCTCGAAAAGCTCGTGTTCATCGGCCAACGTCAGACGGAATCAGGAGGTCAAACAAGGACAATCAGGGTCAACCATGGCGGCGCCTCCGTCTTCGGCGCCGATGGGCGCGTGGACGACCGGCCTCTGCGGCTGCACCGAAGACTGCGGCACCTGTAAGCCCATTGTTTAGTAACAGCGGGTCTTGTGATGCAGTTCTGAGGCGCCTCAAAAGTCGTCTCTGCGGCTGCACCGAGGACTGCGGCTCTTGTGAGTCCATTGTTCAGTGATGTGTTGCGATTTCTTGAAGCGTTTTGTAATTCCACGCGAGCGTTCTACTACTTCCAGTTTGCGCTGCTCCTCAAGCTACGTGACTGAAGAAGTGTTTTGAGACGTCTCAAAACAGTTCTACTACTTCCAGTTTGCGTTGCTCCTCAAGCTGCGATCAAACTCTTCTTCTGTCGGGTTGGCTAGAGGTCTGTTTTGCCCTGTTGGAAGCATTGGTGTTTTGCTGTCGTTTCGCCTCAAAATTTGGACGCTCGACACGCTTTGGAGGTTTAAATATCGACGCGCCTTGTGCGCTCATCTTTGACACGTCTCAAAATTTGGTGTGCTGATAAAAGCCATTGTGTGGTGTTTTCTTTCTTCCTTACTTTCTTTCTTTATTTCTTTTCTTTCCATCGTATTCTGAGGCATTTTCCTGCAGGTTGCTGTGCGATCTGGTGCCCATGCATCATTGTCGGCCGAAACGCGGAAATTGTTACAGACGGCTTAACAGGTAACATGGCTTTACAAGTGAATCGCTTTCCTGATGGCGTCTCAAGGAATTCATGCTTTTCGGGACGGTGCCAGCGCCACGTGCTTCAACTACAGTAACTTGCAGCCAACTCTGTATGAAGGCTGCTCGGTGGGTCGCAGTTGATCAATGGAGAATGTGAATGGTGAACAGTGAACAGTCAAATGAAACTGGCCCATTGTTACGTGCATTCTAGTTGACCATTTTTTTCTTAGTCAAAATCAGCACGCCTTTTCTCTTGTTCTCGTTAGACGCCTCTCCGTTTGTACCAACACACACCCCAAACCCCGCTGCTTCCCTGTTGCTTCCACTTTTGAGAATTCTCAAACGTGTTTTCTCTAGTCAGAGTCAACACGCCTTGTCTCTTGTTCTCCTTCGTCGCCTCTCCGTTTGCACCAACACACACCCCACTCCCCACTGCTTCCCTGTTGCTTCCACTTCTGAGAATTCTCATAAGTATTTTCTCTAGTCAAAATCAGCACACCTTGTCTCTTGTTCTCGTTCGTCGCCTCTCCCTTTGTACCAACACACTCCCCACTCCCCTCCCTGTTGCTTCCTTGGCCCACCAGACTCCGGCACCGCGTGCTGCCTCTGGTATCTCATCCAGATCCTCGTCTGTATGGGCTGCCTTGGAGTGTAATTCATAAAGTCACCTCTTCCCTGTTGCTTCTTTGTTCATTCTCTTGGCTTCCCTCGCCCACGAAACTCCAGCACTGCCTGCTGCCTCTGGAATCTCATCCAGATCCTCGTCGGCAGAGGACTGCGTTTTGGCGTTTTATTCACAAGCCACCTCTTTCCTCTTGATTCCCTGTTGCTTCCCTGCCTTGGCCCACCAGGCCCCAGCACCGCCTGCTGCCTCTGGAATCTCATCAAGATCCTCGTCTGCGTCGGCATGGGCTGCCTCTTGAGTTGACTCAAGCAAGATTCACCTCTCTCCCTCCTACCCTGCAACCTGCGTGCTCCTGTTTTCACTCTTTTGCTTCCTTCGCCCACCAGACTCCAGCACCGCCTGCTGTCTCTGGTATATGACTTTTGAGACGTCTCAAAAATGCTGTCTCTGGTATATCCTCCAGATCTTCGTCGGGATGGGTTGCCTTTAGAGTCTTATTCATACGTCATCTCTTCCCTCTTCCTTCCCTGTTGCTCCCCTGCCTTGGCCCACCAGACTCCGGCACCGCGTGCTGCCTCTGGTATCTCATCCAGATCTTCCTCGGCATGGGCTGCTGCTACTCCTGTGGTAAGGCTGTGTGGCTTTAACGAAGCACTGTAACGAGGTAAACTGGGTACTTTAGTACCGCCTGCTGCATCTGGTATCTCCTCCAGATCTTCCACGGCATGGGCTGCTGCTATTCCTGCGGTAAGCCCCTGGTGCCCTTAACGGAGAAGATTGTAACGGGTATTTTCGCCCACCAGACTCCAGCACCGCCTGCTGCCTCTGGTGTCTCATCCACATCCTCGTCTGTATGGGCTGATTCTACTCTTGCGGTGAGGCTCTTGTGGCTTTAACGAATCAGACTGTAACGAGGTAAACTGGGTACTCCAGCACCGCCTGCTGCCTCTGGTATCTCATCCACATCCTCGTCGTAAGTGTTGCATCCATTCCTGCGGTAAGGCTCCTGTGGCTTTAACGAAGCAGACTGTAACGAGGTGAATGGGTTCAGAGAAGTGCTTTGTTCAAATGACCAAGGCCCTGCAAATCGGGTCTTGGCTGTCTTGGCTTTTGTTAACATGAGCGAGGGCCACCCTTCGCCCTTCCCCTGTGTGACTGGACCCCTTCGCCTGTGTTTTGAGTGAAATCAATCCACACTTTTGAGTCAGACTCAAAACGCACCGGTTTTGGCTTCTGTTAGCATGAACTAGGACTGTGTGACTGGGCTCCATCGCCTGACTGGGCTCCATCGCCTGACTGGGCTCCATCGCCTGACTGGGCTCCATCGCCTGACTGGGCTCCATCGCCTGACTGGGCTCCATCGCCTGACTGGGCTCCATCGCCTGACCGGGCTCCATCGCCTGACCGGGCTCCATCGCCTGACCGGGCTCCATCGCCTGACTGGGCTCCATCGCCTGACTGGGCTCCATCGCCTGACCGGGCTCCATCGCCTGACCGGGCTCCATCGCCTGACTGGGCTCCATCGCCTGACTGGGCTCCATCGCCTGACTGGGCTCCATCGCCTGTGTTTCGGTCGACTCAATACACGCTTCTGAGTCGACATATTCCTCATTCTACTCAATACACCCGTGTCTTTCAGACTCAAAACACACCGTTTTTGGCTTCTGTTAACATGAGCAAGGGCTGTGTGGCTGAACCCCTTCGCCTGTGTTCTGAGTAGACATAAGTTACCCAATACACTCTTTTCTGTCAGACTCAAAACACACCGGTTTGGGCTTTTTTTTTATGTGGGCGAGGGCTGTGTGACTGGGCCCCTTCGGCTTCTCCACTCCTCTCCCCCTCCCCCCTCCTCGTTCCTTTCCTCCATTTACTCTCTTCCTCTCCTCTCCTCCCTCTCTTCCCCGTCTCCTCCCTCTCTTCTTCTTCTCATCCCTCTCTTCCAAGCATGCTCATCTCTCACTGCCCATTTCCAATCCCCTATTGCCTGTCTCCCTATCCCTGCTTCTCCGCCAGGCTTTCACCAGAAGCTGCTGCAGAAGCAGAAGTACATGCTGCCAGCCTATTCAAGCCCTGCATGCTCATCTCTCACTGCCCATCTCCCCTCCCGTTTTGCCTGTCTCCCTTTCCTTGCTTCTCCGCCAGGCTTCCGCCAGAATCTGCTGCTGAAGCACATGCTGCCAGCCAATCCAAGCCCTGCATGCTCATCCCTCCCACCTTCCACCCTCCCACCTTCCACCCTCCCACCTTCCACCCTCTCCCAGGCTTCCTCCAGAAGCTGAGAAACAAGTACATGCTGCCAGCCAAGCCGTGCGTACTGAGTCAATTCAACATGACTCGTCCTTGCGCCAAATCTCAACCCTGTCCCCCACCTTCCACCAGCCGCCAGGCTTCCGCAAGAGGCTGAGAAACAAGTATATGCTGCCAGCCTGGCCGTGCGGGAACACTGCTGCAAGTCAATTCAACAGACTCAACCACCATAACCATTCCCCCATGCCCTTCAAATCCCACCCCTCCCTCAGGCTTCCGCAAGAGGCTGAGAAACAAGTGCATGCTGCCAGCCTGGCCGTGCGGGGACTGCCAGAAGTCATTTGTGGCTATTCTACATCCCACCCCCCTCCCACCTTCCACCCTCCCACCTTCCACCCTCTCCCAGGCTTCCTCCAGAAGCTGAGGTACATGCAGCCAGCCAAGTCGTGCGCTATGAATCAATTCATCAAGCTTAACATCATGCCCATTTTTCGATGCCTTTCCATTCCCTAATTTCTCCCAGGCTTCCGCAAGAGGCTGAGGCAGAAGTACATGCTGCCCGCCAAGCCCTGCGGGGACTGCTGCGTGCACACATTCTGCTTCCTCTGCGCCATCAGCCAGGAGTATCGCGAGCTCAAGATCCGAGGCTGGGAGCCCAAG